AGTACTGTAAATACCTGATAGGCAGGTGGTCCTAGCTATCCCCAGAGGGGTCGGGACCCACAGGTTTCGAACCACTGCTCTAAACAGATGAAACAAGTGCTGCAAAAATCAAAATTTGGAGCAAAATTCAAATTGGCAAGGAATAAAAAGTACCCGTGAGAAGCCAGGGGTAGGGGGGTGTAGGTGGGGTGGCTCACGCCTGTAATCCCAACACTCGGAGAGCCAGAGGCAGTGAGTTCAAGGCCAGCAAGTCCAAGACAGCCAAGACTACTCAGAGAAACCCTGTCCCGAAACAAACATACAACAACAACAACAAATTCCTCGGTCAGCTCAACAGTTAAGGACTCTCACTGTTATTGCTGACGACCTGAGTTCAGTTCCCATAATCACCTGTAACTCCAGCCGCAGAAGGCCCCAAAGCCTCTGCTTCCGTGGGCACCTGCACACACACGCACACACAAGCACACACAGGCAAAGCGGGCGCTCACGGTGTGCTCTTGGCGTGAGATCCGCAGAGCTCCCCTGCCTCTGCCTCCCTCGTGCTGAGGCTGAAAGTGTGCACCACAAGGAAGTGTCCCTGAGCCAGGGTCTCACTATGTGTCTCTGGCTGTCCTGAAACTCACTACCTAGACCAGGCTGGCCTCAGACTCATAGAGATGCTTTATCTCTTCCTCTCAAGGGCGGGAACTAAAGACGTGCACGGTGGGAAATCTTTGTTTTTAGAGTAACCTCTCACCTTGAGAAGCTGCTGTGTTCAAGAGAGTGTGTAGGCAGGGAGAGCCTTCAGTTAACTCTTTGAGTTCTGGAAAAGCATCCATGTTCCATAAGGGCTGGAGCCGCCCAGGTGTGAAGACTGGAGGATGCCAGTCTCAGGGTGGTGTCTAAATTTGGCCTCAAACTGCAGCCGTCTGGGGCTCTTTCACCAGCCCCGTGCCTGGCGCCTGCTCCAGGCCCCGACTCCATTGGTCTCAGGTGTGGGTGGGCAGCTGGAGTCTTTGGAGCTCCCCACAGCGTTCTAACATGCTGCAGCGTTCAGGAGCCACTGGCCACGTCAGGGCATGAAGCAGCAGTTAGTGCTTGGAGAACAAAATGGGGCATGAGAGTGGGCATGGAGAGAGGCTGGCATGGACAGAAGCCTCGGGGGGGGGGGGGGGACGGAGAAAGGCACCGCCGAGGGTACCCTGACTTCAGGCAGCTGGGTGGAGATGCTGAGGGGGGGAGCAGGGTGTGCCCGGCACAGCCCTGCTGTAGAGATGCCACGTGCTTACGAGTGCAAGGAGATTGGGCTGGGTGAACAGCCTTGACTGCCTCAGGCACAGGGCCAGACATGGTGGCACACACCTTTAATTCCAGCACTCAGAAGGCAGATGCAGGTGGGTCTCTGTGGATCTGAGGCTAGCCTGGTCTACAGAGTGAGTTCCAGGACTGCCAGGACCGGAAATCTACCCCTGTGAAAAACAACAGAACCCCGCCCGCTGTAGACGCAGGGTTCGTGTTGTAAGTCTGCCCTCTAGTGGCAGTATCTGTGTATTACGGAGATTGAGAGTACAGCCCTTCCAGGAGACAGGGGAGGCAGAGCCCAGAAGTGTGGGGGTAGGGTGGGGTGGGACATGATGGGGGTTGTGGAAAGGGAGACTCAGGGATGAGAAAGACACGGCTTCCCTTGGTGCTCAGGCTGGGGTCGTCTGAGACCACCCCCAAAGGGGCCATGACCCTCAGGGTAAGAACTGCTGACTTGAGTTTGTATTGCCCTCACAGGAGGGGAGAGCAGGCAGTGCTCTCGGGGCTGGACTGAACTGGATTCTACACCAGATTGGTCCTCACCGTGCACCTTTGGGTTACTCGGGTCTATTGAAATGACCTCTGCAGCTGGGAGGTCAGAAAGGCCTCCTGACACGTGAAAAACAGCGAGGAATGGGAGTACTGTGAGTCATCTTCTCATCTCGGATCCCAGCTAATCCTTGTCATACTTGGTATAAATAACCTCACACATTTAAAAAAAAAAAAATACAGCCGGGTGCAGATGGAGCTCTGTGAGTTCAAGGCCAGCCTGGTCTACGAAGCAAGGTCAGGACAGCCAAGGCTACACAGAGAAACCCTGTCTCAATCAGAAAACAAAAACAAAAACAAACACACCTGGGCTTGATAATAAGCGGTAAGCTAGCATGTCACAGACATGACAGTCACAGCTCCTGGGCAGAGTCAAGGGAGAGGCTTTCAAGGCTCAGAAAGCAAGTGTGTGTGTGTAAGACCAGGTCTCACGGTCACAGAGAGGGTGTGGGTAGGGAGAGAATGAATGAATGAACATGGATCCAAGCTTTTTTGATTGTTTTTGTTTTTCAAGACAGTGTTTGTCTGTGTTTCCCTGGCTGTTCTGGAACTCTTTGTAGACCACGCTGGCCTCAAACTTACAAAGATTCACCTGCCTCTGCCTCCCGAGTGCTGGGATTAAAGCTGTGTGCCGCCTCGCCAGGCTGCATTTGTGTGTGTGTGTGAGGTTATTCATACCAAGTATGACAAGGATTAGCTGGGATCCCAGAGGAGTTTTTCACGTGTCAGGAGGCCTTTCTGACCTCCCAGCTGCATGAGGTCATTTCAATAGACTCAAGTACCCCAGAGGTGCACGGTGAGGGCCAATCTGATATAAAGTCCAGCCCCGAGAGCACTGCCTGCGCTCCCCTCCTGTGAGGGCAACACAAATTCAAGCCAGCAGTTCTCACCCTGAGGGGCATGGTTCCTTGGGGGGGGGGGTATAAATGACCCTTTCACAGGAGTTGCCTAAGACGATCAGAAAACACAGATACTGACATTATACTTCATAAGAGCAGCAAAATTACAGTTATGAAATAGCAACTAAAATAATTTCATGGTTGGGGGTCACCACGACTCGAGGAACTGTATGCAAGGGTCAAAGCACTAGGAAGGTTGGGGCCCACTGATTTCAGTGATCCTGCGTGGGTCACCCTTGGGCAACATCAGTGGTCAAGAAAGCCACTTGAGCCAGACTTGACGATGCACAGCTGTAATTCCAGTTTCTCAAGGACTGAGACAGGAGGACCACAAGTTCAAAGCCAGCCTAGGCAATTTAGTGAGACCCTGTCTTAGATTTGTTTGTTTTTAATGAGGAGCTGGGAAGGAACCCTAGTCTGTAGAGTGCTCACTACTCAAATATAAGAATCAGAGTTCCAGAGGTAGGTGGATCGCTGCGAGTTCGAGGCCAACGTGATCTACAGGACAGCCAAGGCTACACAGAGAAACCCTGTTTCAAAAAAAGAAAAAGAAAGAAGGAAAGAAGGAAAGAAAGAAAGAAAGAAAGAAAGAAAGAAAGAAAGAAAGAAAGAAAGAAAGAAAGAATCGTGAAGATCTAAGTTGATTCTGCAGGACTCTGGTAGGCTTGGGGGCCCAAGTTTTTCATCCCAGTGCTTAGAGGACTAGGGCTTGCTGGCTGGCTAGTTTAGCTCAGTCGGCAGGATCAGGTCCCATTGAGAAGCCTGTCCCATAACTCAGTGGACACCTCCTGAGGAAAGTTGCTGAGATCACCAAGATTAACCTCTGGTCTCCTCTACACACAGGTGCCTATACCCGAACATACAAAAAAAATAAAAATAAAAATAAAGGGGGCTGTCAGGGTGGCTCTGTGGGTGTTTGCTATTAAGCTTGATGGCCTGAGTTTGAGCCCCAGGCCCTACACAGTAGAAAGAGAGAACCCAAAAGTTAGCCTCTGACCTCCACACACATAGCCCCCAACACAAAAAACAAACAAATAAATACAGTAAAAATAAATGCAAAAATTAAAGGACTGGAAACACAGTTCGGGGGAGGGAGGTTCTTGGAGTCTTACACAGTACCTGTGAGAGCCTCGCTTCACCCCAGCACCACCAAAACCAAAACAGCAATGACAAAAAAAAAAAAAAAGAAAGAAAGAAAGAAAAGAAAAGAAAAAAAAGGCCATTTGGCAGAATGGTTCAAGTTGGTACAACCTTGAGGAGGTTTTTGAGGAGTCTTTGAAGGACCACAGGGCGACTTCAGACTGAGTGTCCCAAAAACAGCATCCAAACGTCTCCCTGTTGCCCCTCTCCTGACAGCCTCCTCTCTGAGGCAGAAGGTGGATGTTCTGGTTTTAATTTCGTTTTGTTTTATTTTAGAGGCAGTCTCATGCATCACAGCCTCACATGCAGCCAAAGCTGATCTTGAACTCCTGCCTTCACCTCTCAAGGGCTGGCTTAGGGGCCCTCACCGCCATAGCCTCCTGATTGCTTAAATATAGAAAATCTGCTTTTGTTTTTCCCTGCCCTGTTCCCTTATGTAGGAAGGATGGAAGGCTTTTTTTTTTTTTTTTTTTTTTTTTTTTTTTTTTTTTTTTTTTCATTTTCTGAAGATGACCTCCCTCCACCAAGAGGGTAAAGGATGGTAGGTTCAAAGGACACCGAGAGTGTCACAGAAAGGAGACTTCCCAGAGGCTACAGGAAAGTAGGATGGTGAGGCCCAGGGAAGCAAGTGCCCTCTCCCTAAGGACAGCTGGAAGAAATGACCACAACCAGGGGCTCTGGAGAGATGGGCCTTCAGTTCTCACTTCCCAGATGAGCCCCCAAATTCTTGGGCTGAAGGCATCTCTCAGAAACAACACTCCCCCCCCCATTCTCTGGAACCCCGCAGAACAGGGGGCTAAGAAATCTCAGTGGCCATCCAGGCACCATCCCAAGCCTTGGCACCTTGTGGCTTTCCATACCAGCTCAACAGGATGGCAGGCCACCTAGGTCAGCTAGGACAAAGCTGACCTTCAGAGAATAATGAAGCAGACATCTTGTTCTACCTGCAGGAGCTGTGAACTGAGGTTTATGCCACACACACACACACACACACACACACACCTTTTCTGTTAGGGACCCAGCTAGGATCCTGCAACCTGTCTCAAGATCAGAGTTCATTCCCACATCCCCTCCTTCGGTCCCTCCTTATGGGCCAAAGCCACTAGAGGTCTCTTCTGCCTTCCTCTGAAGCTCAAGGCTCATGTCAACCACTCAACAGAAAGCTCCAGCGAATTCCTCTGCCAGCCTAGGACTCGGCACCGCATCTTGACTGAGGAGTTCATGGAGCTAGAGACATCACCCTTTCTCCTAGCTCTGAGCCGGTTGTCCAAGCACCTGGTCATCTAGGCACCTGCACCGGTCCTGGGGCCGGAGCCACTTGGCAGACAGACAGACTGTGGCAGCCCTTTTCAGCCAGGCCACAGTACCACACTGGCTGACATCTTGGGTAGATGCCGAGTGCCCCTGCCTGAGATATCCAGGCTGGCTCAGGGATGAAGCCCTGCTCCCTGCTCAGGGAGGGGCTCGGGCTGTTTCACCACTTCCTCCTCTGGCTGCCATAGATGGACAGATTCTCTGAGGGCCGGGTGCCGGGTGTGTGTTAAGAGCCTCTGAGCTCTGTGTACACCAGCCGCGCGCCACATGTAAACACTCCGGCCTCTCTCCTCAGGCTAGATAAACTTCAAGCTTTTAGGGCAAGGCACTGCCCCAGCACACTCCCTGTGTTTAAAGAAGATGTCAACAGCAGCCGGCAATCTTGGCAGGAGCTCAGTGCTCTGGACCACTGATTTCCCTGCCAGGGGGGTACACAGCTCACCTCCCAGAGGAATCATCCTGGGCAGAGAAAACTTTCTGTGATCCATAGCCCAGGAACACTGCAGACCCCCACATCTTCCGCCAGCACCCTGGCAGTCTGACACAGACAAGGCGGTGTTTGTTCTGGTGTTTTACTCCTACTGTAGCTGAGGGTGCCCTTGAAGTTCAGACCAGCGGAGGCCATTCGGGACAGAGGGTAGCTCACTGGGAGTAGGACGTGGGCAGCCTTTTCCTCTGCAGTACTCTTCCTGTATGAAGGATGGACCAGGCTCCAGGCTTCAGAATCTCATCGACCCAGCAAGAACGTAACCGAGGAAGCCATACAACCGCCAACTTCTTACAAGAATTACCATGGTCATGGTGTCTCTTCACAGCAATAACACCCAACCGAAGACGGTCTTATGTAGCCTGGGCTGATCTCGAAGTCCTCAGCCTCCTACCTCCCACCTCCGAATACCATGATGGTTCACACTTGCCAGCAGCAGGCGGGCAAATGTGGTCCTCTACACTGCATTTGTGGAGTAGAATAAAAAGGCTCGCCGGCTTGTCCTTCCTGTCCTATTTCGTATGCTCAGGGTGCATTTCTATCAACCTCTGTCATCACACTGTGATGACCAGATGGTCTGTGGCAACATTAGTGTCCCATAGAGGGTGTGACCTCAGCAGTCTCCAAGGAAAACACACAGTTGGCCAAACTCTGAAGGCATCTCCTGAGCCAGGTTTGATGGGGATATACTTGGGGACAGAGGTGGGAGGACCTCAGGTTTGAGGCCAGCCTGGGCTACATCTATGAGTTCAGGGCAAAGTCTGGACTATGTAAGAAGTGAATAACGACTCCCCTCACTCAGAGGACCATGACCTCACGGAGGTCACCTTGCCCATCAGCCTTCTTGGAATTCCCTTTTTCCTTCCAGTTTCTTCATTCGTAGTCTTTTTGCTTGTTTGTTTGTTTTAGTTTGTTGTTTTTGTTTGTTTGTTTGGTTGGTTGGTTGGTTGGTTGGTTTTTCAAGACAGGGTTTCTCTGTGTAGCCCTGGATGTCCTGGAACTTGCTTTGTAGACCAGGCTGGCCTTGAACTCACAGAGATCCGCCTGCCTCTGCCTCCTCAGTGCTGGGATTACGGGCATTCACCACCGCAGCAGCTAAGGTGTGAAGCCTAGTGGGAACCTTTAAGGTGTGAAGCCTAGTGGGAACCGATTAAATCACTAGGGAATAGCCACCCCTTGGAGGGGGTTAATGAGGTTTTTATGGGGTTCTAGTAGCTGTCAAGGGAGGGTTATGATAAAGAAACAAAGCTGGCCCCTTCCCAGTGTCTCTGGTTTCTTGTCTCTGTCTAGCCCACAGGCAAGGCACCTTTCCCAGAACAGATGCCGTACTGTTTGCACTTTGCGCCTTTAAAACTGAGCTGACTAAATCTACCTCTTTCACAACTTACCCAGGTTTTTGTCATAACTGAAAACAGACTAAGACACCTCCTAACTACACTGTTCAGGTCTCTCAAGAGTCACAATGACACAAACCAGCAGGGCACACTTCTGAGCCCCATCTGAAAGGGACAACTGACATTTTGCCCTTCAGGGGCCCACCAGCATTCTGTTGTGTGTGTTATGGAGGGACAGCGATGAGCCACAGGCCTCGCCCCAATGGCCACACAACTTGTGGGCTGTGTGGATCCTGCACACACACAGGAGAGTAGCCCCAGGGGGACGGCAGTTGCCAGCGGGCCTGAGGCTGTCGGGTCTGCCTGAGCATCTTCCTCCACTGCTGCCTTCTTCCCCACCTTCGCCAGATGCCAGTCCCATGGTGGCTCCCCAGTCAGCCGCAGCGTCACAGACGCTGAATCCGAACCTTCTTCCTGTAGGTATGTGATCAGCACCACCGGCATCAGATCCTCAGTCTTGCACAGCTATGGGGGGAGGGGGGTCTTCTCCTCTCTCCTGATCCCCGTGGTCATGACAGACAAACCCTCTGGAGTAGTGTGGTTTTGACTGGACAGCAGCTTTTTGGTGTCTTTCCTCAGGTGATGGCCAGCTTTTTTCTCTTCCTTTTCCTTAGACAAGGCAAACTGGCCAACAAGCCCACAGATCTCCCTGGCACTGGGATTACAATATTACAATCACACACCTCCACATCCATCTTGTTTTGTATGGGTTCTGGGGGTGGAACTCAAGTGCTCATGCTTTTAAGGCTGTCTCCCCAGACCATTTGTCTGTGACATGGTCTCACGTAATCCAGGCTGGCCTTAAACAGGCCGTGTGGCCAAAGATGGCCTTTAACTCCTATTCTTCCTGCTTCATGTCACTAAGCCTGGCTTCACTCTGCCATTTTGATATCCCAACAAGAGCAAAGAATTTAAAGTACTTCTCCTCCCTCTTAAGACAAATCTTTAAGACCATTGTCCAGGCTAGGCAATGGTGTCTCACACTTAGTCCCAACACTTGGGGGGCAGAGGAAGGTAGATCTCTGTGAGATCAAGGCCTGATCTACAGAGTGAGTTTCAGGACAGCCAGGGCTACACAGAGAAAAACAAAACAGAAGACCATTGCTCAGTCGTGAACTCCAGGGCTCACACCTAAGTAGCACAACTAGCCAGCCATAACTTTGTCTTGGGAAGCCCCATCTCTTCTACCCTGAGCCTAAAAGCCTTCCGGCACATTGTTGAAAAGCTGAAAGAGTTTATGATTTAAGGAGGAAATAAAAACTCAGATTTAGTAGCTCCAAAGTATAATCCCCATTATATACACAACAGAGTGGTGGGGGCAGGGATGTGCTATTCTGGGCTTCGGGAGCAGGCACCCCTGGTCTACACTGGGTTTGTGGCCCAAAGCTCAACCAAGTGCAGCTGCCTGAGCGCAGGAGACCGGGGTGACAAAGAAGAAAATGGCTTACATTCTTACTGCTAACATATTTTGCCTCTAGGACAGAGGCCAAACAAGCATAGGACAGAAACAAATGCAGGGGTGATTGGACACAGCTGCTGCCATTAGCTGATCAAAGACAGCGACCCTCTGGGTAAGAGACAAATGTCAAAACACGGTGGCCTATCCAACAGAGGAAGTAGGCTTTCATGGCCTGGTGAAGAATGTGGCCAATTCTATATTAGGCTCAGGAGTGTCAGGTTCCTCTAGCCCATCCCAAGGATGACAAAGGGCTCCAGAAGCACCTCTTCATCAAAGTCAAAGGCTGTGTCCCCTGTCCCAGGCATTGCACATTAGCCTAGTTAGGATGGCAAACAACAGATATTATGCCACTGATGAGCTCAGGAAATTCACAATAAGAACTGTTTGGAGCTGGGTAATGGTGGCGCATATCCCAGCACTGGGGAGGCAGAGACAGGCTGATCTCTATGAGTTCAAAGCCAGCCTGGTCTACAGACGAGTTCCAAGATACCTGGCCTACACAGAGAAACCCTGTCTCAGAAAGAGAGAGAGAAAGAACTGTTTAAAAAGAAGCCTTGCAAAAACAAAAAAAAAGAAAACAAGAAAGAAAGAAAGAAGAAAGAAAGAAAGAAAGAAAGAAAGAAAGAAAGAAAGAAAGAAAGAAAGAAAGAAAGAGAAAGAAAGAAGCCTTGCATTTTATTTCCAGCACTCAGAGGCAGAAGCAGACAGATACCTGAGATCAAGGCCAGCCCTGTTTATCTCAATAAAACAAAAGAAAACGGGAAGGAAGGAAGGAAGGAAGGAAGGAAGGAAGGAAGGAAGGAAGGAAGGAAGGAAGGAAGGAAGGAAGGAAGCTACACCTGGGGTGTAGCTCAGTTCAGAATACCTGCCTAGCATACGGAACCCCCAGCACTGCATAAACTAGGCTGAGTGGCATATGCCTCTAATCCCAGCCAGGAAAGCGAGCTGGGGGGGAGGGGGTGGAGGAGAAAAGGGAGAGGGACAGAGGGAGGAGAGAGAGATTTGAACACCATTTTTCCGAGCCTAATTTCTAATTTTATACCCAAGGAAACTGAAGCTTGAGATGAGAAATAGCCAGATTATCTAGTCAGTCAACAAATAGGGGCAGAGCCAGAGGCCCAGAACCCAGCCCTCATCACTTAACTGATACCCCAGCAAACTTGCCCTTACGTCCCAGGGTATTTCAGAACACTAAGATTTTCTTTTCAAGCAGAGTGAATGACTTACCCGGGGTTCCCAAGTCAGCCGGACTCACTCTCATTCCCAAATGCAAATGCCAGTGTCCTCCGGTAGCTCCGATCTGGCGGAATATAAACATGGAGGCTTATACCCTCTATGCCACCCCCATCCAGGCTGTGCCTAGCTCCCCAAGGTCTCTCCCTGCTTCCCAGTGGGTCCTAAATCTTTCAAGAGACAAGGCCCAGCCATCCAAGCAGGGGGGAGCAGAAGGAGGGGGAGCAGCCAGCACCTCTGCCAAGGCTCTTGCCTGCCCTGCTGGGAGGAGCTAGGAGCAGCCGCCGAGGGCTGGCAGCATTGGGGGCCTGCACTACAAAGCTTGGAGGCCATCGGGCTACACGGTGCACTTGTAGGACCCCCAGACTCGCCACACCGTGCACACCTCTTGTCTGGAATG